ATTCAGAAATTGTTTAAAGATTTCAACATATTTGACCCCTGTGACAGTGAAAATAGGTGAAGGTCATTCGTAATTATGACCAATATTTAAATTACCTGGTAGTGATAATTCATGCAGGTAAGATCTCTCCAGCACTGGTCACCACGAAGTTTTATCAAACCCTGCAAACAAAAAGAGATTAAAATCAATACAAGACTACAGAGTTATTTCCCTTAATCAAAACATGAACTTTTCCTGTGTTGTGCTTCAGTTAATGTCTAGTCATTCATACCTTTTAGCCTATTAATGATGATGATTTTTCCACAATCATATTTAATTGGCATAATTAGCTTATAACCTTTACTTAAATTTTTTTTTAATCTTTACTGAAGTAAGGGATATATTGAATTCGTTGGTCACCCCTAAAATCAGGCAATGGGATATACTGTATAATGGGTTATTTACAATACACAGGCTTAAATTTTCACGATTTTGACCCAAATTAGAAAATTGAATTTACACAGATTATTATTTCGCTATCTAGACATGTAAAGGAACTGAATTTTTGTGGTGTCTTAGCACAGAGATGGGACATTCGGCATACCAAGTGTCAAATAGTCAAATCCTGAGAATTCATGACAGCATATGTAGCAATAACAAGCTAGTTTATTTTGTTAAATAAATCATCAGCAAAACTATTAGATATGTGATATAACCTATTTTCAACCTTCATTACTCTTTATGTATATCGTCACAACCACACGCATGCTATTTCATGGCGACATTACGGTTACCGAGTTTATTATCCCTGATCATATTTTTCGTGATCAGGTTATTGACCCGCTTAATTGCAAAATGATCATCCCCGTGAAAAATATCCTGCTATAAGGTACTAGGTGGATTCTTTTCCACAAACCAGTAGCTGCAGGGATTAAGTAAGTGCTAGGTAATGTCAGTTTATAAATTGACAATTTTAGGATGCTTGGAAATTCTTTTTTAACCTTATCATTATTAAGATATTAATACTCACAGCACCAATCATGATCCTGAAGATGAGCCAGCGGAATGCCCAGATGATGGTTTTAGAAGTGGGCGTGTCTGGAGGTACGGCAGAGAGGTTCCAAACGGGACACAAAAATGTGGCGAGGAACCCTGTCTCCAGTAGCTGAGACTCCCATCCTGAAATCAGAAACAATATCAAAAATACAAAACTCATGTACCTTGCTACATATCTGATTGTCACAATCCTTGCGATACACAGCAATAATTGTCATAATAATTCGCAATAATTATATAATTTTAATAATAATGTGAAAGCCCAGAAGGATTTGAAATACACAAAAAAGTATCACTCCTCCGATATTACTCTTTTAACAACTCAAAAGAAAACAGTTGTTTTAAGAGAATCACACTTGTGATTACTTTTTTCAAAATATTTCAGTATTTCTCTTTTAAATTAAAAGGGAGATAAAAAATTCAACACTTACCAAAACCGTACCTGTCAAAGAAATAAAAAAAAAAATATAAACATTTCAATCCCAGGGTTTTTATGTAGTGGTAGTACCATTATGGAAAAAAATAAAGCCACTACACATAAATTAAAAGTTACAAGCTTTTTATAAAAAATTCTTGAGAATATAATAACACTTTGATACAAGATTTCATTATTTTTTAAATCTTGTCTTCTGAGGAATCGATCTTCATTTCAAAATTATTTGTATCAATAGGATATTATGACAAACAAGGATTTCTAGGAGTGTGTTCCATCTCAATATATATAATACATATATATATATATATATACACACAAAATTTGCAATATTACCAGTATCTCATTTTTTTCAGAAAAAGAATAGAAATGATAAGTATCCATCTGGAGTAAATGATTTCTGCATTAAATTTCAGCTTTGACTTTAATGATACATGTGGATCAATGCATCCTCATTCTGGGCAGTA